CCTCCTCTCCTGGCGAAACGCCGGTGCGGGGGCTTCCGAGCCCGCGGCAGAAGTTCCTCAGTCAGGCGCCGGGAGGAGGGGGCCTGTCAGCTCAGCCGGGCGCCGGGGCAGGGCCTCTGCCTCCCTGCAATCCTGAAGTTGGCTGGACGGCTTCGGAGCTGTTTTCATCAGTTCCCTCTGCTGAAAGAGTTAACGGAAAAGCGAAAAAATAAAAGTTGGTTATTACATACGTCATTAATTTTGGTGTAAGTAAAACTGGATTTGTTGAGGTGCTAAGATAAACTCTTAATGACTAGAATCGGACCTCAAAGTGTTTAGTTTAATGGCTTGGTTATGAATCTTCCCTGACAGCTGTTACAGTTTTGTATTTACATTTCCTGCCTCTACGAAAGTGTGTTCTACAAAGGAAGAAGAGAAAACAGAAACAGGAGAAAAGTGAAACTTATTGAAAGTGCTGTCAAATACCCAAAGTAAACAAAAACACTGCGTCAGGCTGTGTTTTGGGGTTTTGTGTTTGGAGTTCCATGGGGTTTTGTTGTTTGTTTGTTTTATTTGGAGTCTTTCAATAAGTTACTGTTTGTACTAGTAAAGTGACTTGCAAGGTAGCTTGTTTACTGGGAGCTAAACCTGTCCTTTTAAACTGAGTGAAAGGACAGTTGCTTTATGTTACTTACTACATTTTTTTTTTTTTTTAATTATTCCAGTTGTGGAATCTGACCTTAGGAGTAGTAAAGGTTATAGTCCCTTAAACTCAATCTGAAACTTGTTGTTTGTAAAGTAAATACTGTCAGTGGTGCTGCTGGCTCATGGTAGATGAAGTAAAGATGTTCTCTGACTTAAATTGTATTGCTGTCAATCAGGCTGTAACAAAATGCAGGCTGTTTTCTCACAGGAATACTAAGCTTGTGAAATACTCACTAATATTCTTGATTACAATTTAATTGTATCCTAAAATGCTTTTAATAGGTTCCTTCCAGCCAACGAATGAAATGATGCTCAAGTTCTATAGCTTTTATAAGCAAGCAACCCAAGGACCCTGTAACGTTCCACGACCTGGATTTTGGGATCCGATTGGTAGATATAAATGGTAACTTTTTATGAGTTGCTTTGGTTTGGGGTTTTTTTAATGCTTGGCGTGGGGATGGTTAGAAGAGTGGTACTTGGAGAAATAACTTGGTGAGTTTATTCTCTCTTTTAGAAAGAACATTCACAGCCTTTGATGCTTGAATTATTTTTCTGTCTCACGTTCCAACTTTCTAGCTCAGAAATTTATAACTTCTCAGAGTTGCAGGTGAAAAAATTCCCTCGGGTTCTGCAGGTGAGCAGGTTTTTCTTGGGGCAAGCACCATCATGGTACCTCTGCAGTGTCTATCCCATGTAGCAGAATAAAATTGTAGGTGCTCTGCAGAATGAGTAGTGATGTGGATGAGCTTCTGGAATTCTTCCTTACCAAGTTTTTATGCATGATGTGAGCCTGAAGTAAGTGCTCATTGACAGCCACCGATATAGCTTCAAGCTCATGGGGAGAGGTCTGGTTTATGTATCTTTCTGGTTTGTCTGCTCAGTGGCAGGGCTTCCCACTGTCTGTATTTTCCTTGTGCTGGGAAGACTTTTGATCACCAGATTGCTAAGATCTGTTTGAAAAGCCACGTGAATGCTTTGCTTATTGTATTTGAATAATGATTTGTCCTGAAGAACAAGTACTATTGCTGTCTTTATGGTTATGGTCGTCTTGGGATATGTGAAATGATTGCTATGACATTTTTTTGCCTTTTGTTTCCTCTCCTTCCTTCCTCCCAAGTCAGGGTGAAGGGGGTATCTTTGCAGAGGACTAGGGCAGTAAGCTTCTACCTAACTGGTTGTTGTAGCTGAAATAGGAGCCATCAGCCTTGGGGTTTTGACGTAAGTGGGACGAATACTCTGGCAAGGAGAAGGGACAGCGTCAAATCAAGTGCAAGACCGAGCAAGGAAATGTTTTATTCCAGTCTGTGTTCTGACAGATTCCTTGTGCAATACTGATAAATTTGATGGGAGTTTTCTGTCTTGCAGAGTTGGAGAGGGGGAGATTTTTTTTTTTAGGTCATAAGTACCTGCTGTGGTAACTGGGGGCAGTGATTAAACTATTTGCCTACTAGACTGATGTGTCTCCCTAGTTGCTAAACTTGAAAAGGACAGATTTTTCTTGTAGCCTGTTCTAACTTGCTGACGACTTTGTAAGTGCTGGGTGAAGTGTCTGTGCCTGCTCTTCTTCTGCAGCAGAGGGTCTTAAAAAAAATCAAGCTAATCAAAAAGGAAATGTGTGTCTCATATCTGGGCTTGTTAACATCTTACTGGGTACAAGATCATAGCTGGTCAATGGGGAATTCCTCAGTCCCCAGGCTGTTCAGTTGTTATTTCTTTGTTGATGTACCACTATGTGATTATCCTAGCAAATTGTATGTTTGGACTTTAAAAAAAAAAACAACAAAAAACCAAACAACCAAACCCCCAAAATGTTGTGAATTGTTGCATTTTATTTGCATCAGAGAAACTTTGAGCATTGCATAGCTGGCCTATGTAAGACCAGGCTGAAAAAATCCAGTAGGCCCTCATGATACTGAAGATGTATGTGACTTTGCTTCCTAGGGATGCTTGGAGTGCCTTGGGAGACATGTCCAAAGAAGAAGCCATGATAGCATATGTTGAAGAAATGAAAAAGGTAGGTTTACTAACGAGTGGAAGGGATATTCTAGAACAAATGTTCCAGAAATAAAATCAGGAGGTTCTTGCTGACTAGTACTGTCAAAGCTCCAAGTGAGTTATTCCCTGTGTAAACTGTTACATTTCAGTACTGTGCTGTTTGGCCCATGGGGAGAAGAAAATTACGTGGTTCCTTCCAAAGCTACAGAATTTAGGTTGTTGCAGAGAAACATGAGAGCTCTCGCTGGTACGAAGCTTAAATGACAGAGCTAAAGAAAGTGAATTATTGAAATCATGACAAAAGGGGGCAGTGGGGAAAACAGTGGAACTTAAAGTACAACAAAAGAAAAGCTGTTTTACTGCAAACTGCCTCAGTTCTCAGAGTTGAGAGAGGTAAGTGATCCTTACCTTGGAAAGGGAAAAAATAACCCTCCAGAAGGACTTTAGGAGCACGAGTCACACTGTCATGAGTGGAGACATGAGTATAATCAAATACGTAAACTTAATCATCTTCAATTTCTCAAGAGGAACTAGTCAACCTGAATTTTCTGTACTTGTCATGAAAATATTCCTTGTATATTATAGTTGCAGTCAAAAAGTTAGTATTGAGTAATTTGGTCTATCTTTTTTGGAACAGATGTGTAACTTGTAAACAGTTGTAGTTACTACATTAAGCAGGAATTGCAGCATTAACTAAAATAAAGATTCAGAATTAAAGCTTTTTTTTAACTAAATTTTTTCACTGCTGTCTTCACTGAAGGTCTTCTGGGTGGCCTTTCCAGTTTAAAGATAACTTACTGTCCATCTCGATAAAAGTATAATTGTAATCTATTATTATAATGAGGTTAGCATCAAGGAGAGAAAATGTGAGTTCTACTCTAAATAGACTTGCTTTTCTCCTAGGCTACTATCTTGACATTGGGCTCTTAACACGTTTAATGATTGATACAACAAAAACTTATTAGGCAGGGAGCTGGAGTCTGACTATTGGTTTTTTTTCCTATCTGTAATTTTGATAACTTCATTCTTGCTGGTATTACTGTAGGTGCTTTAAAATGAAAAATAAACAACTCCAGAAAACATAGGAGACCAAATACTATTCCTTTAGTCAAAAATCCCACTAAATTTTAATAATTCCTTTTGAATGCATGCTGCAAGATTTAATGCTTCATTTCAAATCTTGGATTCAAAATGTGTTAATACTTAGTAGAGTACCTTCTTTTTTGTCAGTGCAGTAATTGGTTTGGTCAGGACATTAAAACTAAGTGAAACTGCAATGTTTTTTTTAAAAAAACAAACAAACAAAACAACAACTTAGTAAGCCTCCTGTGAGGAAGTCTACTTCCTTGACCCTAATGAAGCACAAATACTCTTGTCTCCATACAGATTACATGTAGGGATTGGAGAGCAAATGACTTCTTGCCTTGCTCAGCTTTGAAACTGAGGAATCTGTTTACCCTGCTTTGGTGCTGTTTCAGCTCTCGCATTTGAAATACAAGCTTCAGCTTTTCCAACCCGATTGATTCTACTTGAAATGTTCATGGAAGTGCATTTCAAATGGATCCACTGGGTTATTCTATCAGCACATACTGCACTAATCTTTCTGCTGTTACTGTGGGCATTCTGCTGTTGCTGCATCAGTAGCCACATCTAAGGGGGCAAAAACCCACTTGTGTACTGGTAACACAGAAGTACGTTTAAGGGTGTATGATTGCCATATTTCCCCCGCCCCTGGGGCACGCCTCTAGCATTTGCACACTGTGTTTGGGCTGTGCATGCATCAGATGACCCTGTCACTTTATTGAAAACTTGTTTGGTGGGGTTTTTTTCCCTTCATGTGTTAGCCTTGAAAATTTCAGCTGTTGAAGAATGTGGGTGGGGTTTTGAGGTCCCAGTGGGAGATGGCCAAACATGTCTTAGTCTGAGCTAAGATGAATCTGAGCTCAGGTGCATTTTGTTTAAGGTTAATTTATCTTCCAAGTAGCATTTCTGAAATTTTATATTGCAATACTGTTTAAACCAATTTATTTACACTTCAGATATATTGTTCTGTTATATATTGGAAATGTATGATATCTTAGCCTAAAGAAGTATTAAGAGTATATGGTGTTTCTAATTTAAAACAAGAGTCTTCATATATGAATTGTCTGACTTCCAGAGAAAACAATAATTCAGGATACATAACGTATTTTGCACTTTCAAATTTTAAGATTGTATATTATGCCTAGCGGCTATATAAGTAAGCAGTTGATTTTGTTTGTGGAAGTATTTGCTTTTGTTTGTGGAAGTATTTGCTCTTTTCTTGCTCACCTAAAAGCTAGCAGTTACAAAACTCTTACTTTAACAGAAACTGCAGTAAGATTCTAAGAGTTGCTTCAAGTTGCACAGAGTATATTGAGGTCTGTTTAGAATAGATGAAGAGCAGCTATATGCAGACATCATAGAAATGCATGTATAAAACAGTTTACAGTGCAGTCTATAGAAGTAAATACATAGCGTAAATACATAAATACGAGTGTTATTCTAGAATAGGTTTCTTGTTTCTCTCAATGCTATTGAAGATAAAAAAAATTTTTAACAAAATCACAAAACTGTCCTGTCTCTGGTTCGTATCCAGCTCTGTATCTGAGCACTGAGCATTTCTACCTAACAAATACGGAATGAATTATATATATCAGAGCAGTGGCAATGAAACGGCAGTTTGATAGGTTTGTTGTCTCTTGATATCCTTGACTGGCTTGCAAGTGTTGACTTGTTACCTGCTAGCCTGCCTGGAGCTTCTGTTTTGTGAAGTAATTCCGTAGCTTTTGCTTGTACTGCTTAGTGACATGCTTGGTGCTTTTGTGCAGCATGTTCTGTGGCAACTTGTACCTCTATCTGTTGCTTTCTTAGTGCTTTTCTGGAGGAGGAGGAGGTGTACCATAGCTGTTAGTTTGCTTTTACATGAGTCTTTCCTGTAGTTATTGTCTCTTTTTAAGAAATAATAAGTATGGAAGAAGAACAAAGCTATTGGCAAAAACCTTTGTTGAAAGGACTTAAACTAGAATGGGACAATAATATTGTATGCTTTTAAAATGATACATTATTGAATCTCTTCTGTTTAATCTATTCTAGATTTAAGATTTTGCATTCTTATCAGATGATCAAAGGCATTGGGTTTGTAACTTAAAATGAAGAAGTTTTTATCAAAGGAAGAGCTCCAAATGACTTCAAGAGCAGAACTTAGTTCTAGTTTGCTCTTCTTTTAAGTAAGCCTTTGTACTGTCCCAGTTTTGTTGTATTCTGTCCATTTTGTTGTTTGGGTTTAGGTGGACCCAGTAGGGCACTTAGGATCTGCTTCTTACATTCCATTGAAGATGGCAGGGTTTGACAAATACAAAGAATCCTCTAAGAAAAAAAAGTCTTCCTGTTTTATTTTCTCTGTGGGAAGACTCTTCTATAAAATAGATTGCACCAGATAACAGCAGCCTGTTGAACTTTTGAGTTGGTTTAGTTTGAAATTGTTGAAATAATGGATTCCAAGGTGGTCTAATACTGTGCTGAGGCTGTCCTTTAGCGTTGGCAAATGCCTTACCTCTCCCATCTTCACCCAAAAAAAGTTAATACAGTTAGTTAAGACTCTCTTGTTTGATAAATTAATTTTATGTTCTTTTCCTTTTAATTAAAAAAAGGTAAAAAAAATCAGAATAATGTGTTAAGTGACTTAATGGAAATGTTACTGAGTTTTACAATGACCAGAAGTTTCTAAAATCAGTTGAAATGAGTGAATCATTAAGACACTGTTTCATAAGATGCTTCATATTTTGGACTTGTGCAGATCCTTGAGAGCATGCCAATGACGGACAAAGTTGAAGAATTACTACAAGTAATAGGCCCATTCTATGAAATAGTAGAAGACAAAAAGAACAGAGGATCTGACCTAACCTCAGGTTCGGACAAGTAACTTCCTTTATACTACTAATAATCACAACTCCAGATGTTTTGGCGCTTGTTTTCTGTAAATGATTTTAAAGCTAAACATTGCATCTTTCTGTTCATTCTCTTTACCATATAACAGTTCGAATGGAGAAAGTCTCTAAGTATTTGGAAGGTAGGAATAATAAATTATGTGTAAGTCCATCTTTTCCATTGTTTTGGTGCTGTAGTAACTGCCTGCTAATGCTTCTGACTTCTGGGCTTGCCACCTCATTGGGCTGGATTTTGTTTTATTTTGCTGTTGATGTATTAAAAATAGTTAGAACCAGGAAGCTGCATGTTTAGCCCTTGTCTACAGGCTTTTTGAGCTGCTGAAGGAAGCTTCTTCCCAAAACCAGAAGAGAATTTATAACAAACAATTCCCCCAATCAAATGTAATTTCTGCCTTTCCATTAATAAAAGGAACAACTGATGTGTACTGCTACATCCTCATGTAGCTGTGGATTCTCACACTGCATGCAGAGCTGGTGATCCAGCTCTGTCATCTGATCTAAAATAAAAAAAAATCCACAATCAAACCCCCTTTTTTAATCATGGTTTCTCTAACACATACAGAATATAAGATGGGTTTGTGAAACTTTCAAGTGAAGTGTTCTGAGGCTCAAGTTCATAAAGGGAGTATCTATTTAAACATTTTTAAATCTGACAAGTGGCAAACCTAGTGGTGTCATAGCTGCATAAAAATCAGTGTGGTGATTTTTATTTAGCAATACCATTGTGTTTTGATAATAACAGTTATTATGTTACAGGTAATGTGTTCACAAGGTTGTAACATAAGGCTTACAGTTGTTTAAATCTGGCTTAAAATTACATACAGTTAAAACTTGAAACACCACAGGGTAAAACTTGAAACTGTTTTTAAAAAACAGACTTGCAGAAATTAATTGATTTAATGTGTTTAAGAAGTAGGAGTTAGCTGGTTAAGTTGCCTTTTGTATGTGTCTCTTTTCCCTACCTTAAAGGAACATAATTTTGGTATCAAGTCTCAGAGAAACAGAAATGATTTTTCATTATTTTTGAGAAAAGGTAGTGGTAGAAGTTTTCAAAGGGTCATTTTGAAATCCATGTGACTTTTTTGCTCAACTAAAATTGTGTATGCTTGATGTCTGGGATTTAATGATCTTGCCTGACAGCTGGATTGACGGGCAAGATTGTAAGAGTATCAGTGGATTCAGGTCAGTGATCTGTGTAATAAGGATTTACTTGGACTTGGTGTCTATGGCACAGCGCCAAAAGCCACTTCTTAAATAAAGTGACTTATCTAGGCAAGCAGAGAATCATGGAAGTTAAACCATACCTAACAAATCTAGCATACTTGGTTTTTAAAGAGGCAGCTTAGCCATAAGGTGGTGTAAGTAAAACAGAAGAGCACATTTCAGCTTTATCTTGCTCTGTCAGCATTGCAATGAATTAAGAAAGAATTTTCACAAAGACCGTTGTATGTTACAACTTCATGACTGCATTTAAGACTTCAAAACCTTTTCTTCAGTATTCTTACCACGTGCACAATTAAAAGTGAAACTGGAAGTAATTATTTACAGTGCAGGCCTCAAAATATTTCACAGAAGTATGGAAGCATGAGTACCTTCCGTCTTCCAGATACACTCTAAAGAGTAGAACCAATCTGCCCAAGTCTGTGTTTGAGATAGTATAGACACTGGTGACAATACTGTTAAGAATTGGTACATGGTTATGCTTCGATTGTGTTCCTCCAGTCCTGTTTCTCCCCCCACCCTCAAACCCCTACTCTCTGTAGCTTCTGTTGTAGAAGGTGTTTTTTCACGAGCAGGCAATATTTTCTGGAAACTGGGGTCTTTCTCTTGAGTCTGACCTCATACTGTACTCCCCACATCTTCTGGCCCATTCTGTTTTGAGTTTGCCTTCCATTCTTCCGTCAGATTTTAATCTGTATGAAGATAATTATCTAATTGTTAAAGAATTGCATGCCACTTCCTCAAAATCAACAGTGTTCTTGGATTAGTCAAAGAGCTTGTCTGGAAGCTTAGTGTACATCAGCTATGGCTGGTGTATCGTCTCTAGCAGACTGGCCTCAACAGAAGAGTATAGCCTTTTAAAATGGCATTTCTACTCCTTGTGGTTTCACTGAAAATGTTAAATACAAACCATTGAAATACTGTCTTCCTGAATCAATAGAGATTGTGGCTCTCCTTAATGAAGAACACTGAAGCCTGACATGCCAGCATTAAAGTGACTTGTAACAGCTACTAGACAACTAGGACAAATTTGCTGCATCTGTGGGTTACAAATATCCAGATATCCAGACTGGGATGTGTTGGTAAAGAAAGGAAAATAGAGAACTCCTTCCAATAGGCTGAGGAAATCTGAGAGGTATTTCAAAAGCATGTAACCGGAGTAGTGTTTTGAAAGCTCATCCTGCAGCTGTGTGAGAAGCTTAGGTTCTCTGGAAAATTCAGTCAGTAGTCTCTTCCTGACAGGTATGAAGTACTTTATAGAGAAAATTATTGACAAATTATTTCAAGGTACATAAAATACTAGACATCAAAGAAGAAAGTGGGCTCTTAGCTGTCATAGTGCTGCAGAAGAGAATAGGTAACTGTTGCAGTATTACAGAAGGACCCTTTCATTTGCAGCTGCTGGAGGAGTAGAGGGAGGACTGCCAGGTAAGGTGGGGGAGTGCTTTAGAAAAGCAACTTTTCGACTTTTTGCACTTGCTAATAAATGCACAAGAAGTCCAATATCCAAGCCAATGCTAAAAAGACAAAGAAGCTTAAAAATACCATTGCTCAGTGAATTTGAAATTTTCAGAATGGGCATTCAAGCTTTCTTGTTATCTGAAGAAGCCAAAGGTGGGTTACAATTGGCACCCTACTGATCTGATACTGGGTGAAAAATACTGAGTTTCAGAGCCAACTCATCCTTGTGAATGCTTGTGGATGTTTTTTGGGTTTGAGGTTTTTTTTTTCTGAATGTGAGTAAATCCAAAGGGGGGCAAGAAAATCCCCACTTGACAGGCCTGCACTAAGTTATCTCAATAACTAAGCAAAGTATCTGGAAATTGTTCACAAGTTCTCCATAGACTTTTCCTGCGTACTCATTCTGCTTTGCGACAAGGCATTTAATCTGTCTTAAAATCCTACTAAATAAAGATGACTCTTCACCTTTATGCATAGTAGTACTCTTTGTAAGCCTTTGTGAAGACTAAATGTTGCCTCCAGTAATGACAAGCTATGCGCTGCAGATGCTGTGGAAGGTTTCAGCATTATAATACTCCTAAACTTTGTTACCCTAATGAGTGTTTCTCTCCTGAAAACTTTGCTCCCAGCTGTATTGCAGTTGTACCAGATGAAGCCCTATGACTTCATCAGAGTAATGAATAGTATTCTGTCGTATCATCAGGGGGCCACTTTCATGCTCTAATGGGGCCTGTTTTGTACAGGGAGCTACACCATGACTAAATTAGACAGGAAGAATTGCCACCCTGACATGAAGTGTTTTGGTTTGGCTGTCCTGAAAGTTATTTATTTTTACATAAATTGTATTTCTAATATGGAAGTCTTTTTGGACACAATAGTTTACCATATCGTCTTAAGGAGTAGGTTATGTTCGCAGCCACAGTTCTGTCACCACTTGCTTTCCTGAGCGTAACTTTACATTATTTGGGTATCAAGAAATATGATCTTTCAGAGGACATCCTTCATAAAAGCATCCGAACACTTACACTGCTGAATCAAGGTGGCATGAGCTATTGTGACTGTGTAGTACATGTTACCTGTTCCGTATTGTCTGCTGGTTGGCTGAATATTGTACATAAAGCAAAATATTATGACAACTCAGTTGTCGCAGCAAGGTGACTCATATTGCTGCACACGCTGGCTTTGGGCAGTGCCAATTGCAGTGTAGCATGTTTGCGCTAGGAGCTCATACAGGGCACTGCTTCAGTAGCAGATTGTGTGAATGGCAGAAGTTGGCCTGGCTCACAGGCAGATGTGGCTATTGAACAATTTGCTGTTTTCCTGTATCGGGTATGGGAGGCTAGGTTTAAGAGACGATACTCGCTGAGGTCTGTGTGCTTTTAGAAGAAGCAAATACATGTAAACACTTCTATTTCAAAGGCCGTAGTTAGTACAGGATGTAGGTAACCTTGGAGGGAAGGACTGAACTTGAAAAAAAGTGAGTCTGTTCTTACTACTTTCCAGGTAGAAACACTTATTCTTACTCTTAAAATACAATATATTTTCTAACTGTGCTTCCGTAGATTGCATATGATTAGTTTCTCCTTTCAAATAGTTTTATTTTCTCAAAGAGCTTCTCATGTTATTTTCAACATCTTCGCTTTGTAATGGTGCATACCTATGTGTGCTTCATAAGCTCACTTTGCAGTTTGACTTCAAATATACTTGCTAAACTGATTTCCTTCCTTTTTCTTTTCCTCACTAGGAGTTTTAAGGAACTCAATGGCTGCGAATCTTCTTAATGCTTTGTAAGAAGGGGAAAAAGAGCTAAAATCCCTGTTACTCTGAAATTGCCGTGCTTTTATGTTGAATGGGTGGCAGCACCACAGCTAGCAGGTGCATTAAGGCAGGGCAAGCATGGGGCAGGAGGAGCCAGGGGGTGGGTGAGAGAGGTTTTTAAAATTCTTACCCTTTAACCTTTTCCTCTTCTCGTTTCCAGTGATAAACTAACAGCTATAATTGAGGTTACAGATCGTATTCAGGGAGGCCAGTGTGAAACTTACTAACAAAAATATTTGCATAATATCTCAGTACCTTAATAGCTTACCTTCAGAAGCATCTAGAAGGTTCTCTGCAGTGTTTGCTGCAGGATGGGATTATTATAGGATTAAGGGCTGGGCCAGCAAGTGCCAAAATCAGTGGAGAGGCTCAGTGGGATGTGGATCAGTGTCTCAACAAACTGTGGCTTGTCCTGTTGCAATATATACCAGCTTCAGGCTTTCCAGTTACAATCTGAGCCTGCTTTGTGATTTGACTTCAGACTGATAGTTTTATGCCAGTGTTGTCTAATAATGTTGGAAATTAGGGCAGAACATCAGTATAGCTCGAGCCTGAGGATATCAACAGCTCCTTTCTCAAACGGAGTAGTAGAGAATGTATCACCACTGGGTGAGCAGCAGAG